ACAAGAAAAGCTATACAAATTTGAAATCACAAAAGTTAAGTAAGAGTGACCCCCAGAGGCTGTACACGCTGTGGCTCAGTTTTATGGATTCCTCCTGCTGCTTATGAAAGTATATGAGGCTTTTAGCCATTGCATTATTTAAGAAGTCTTTTTACCGTTTGTATTAAAGTACCTGCAATTTCAGTGTCATTTTGGCAGTTTAAAAAAAAAAGATTATTGGTCACATTATAAAACTGATTTGATTTTAAGCTGCGTCCTGTGCACACGCTGATAACTTTCTAAACCATATGTGCAGACAGATCATTAGTTCTCGTCAGTTACACAAAATTCTCTGGAAGAAGTACTGACTTTGGCAGCAGTCTGTTAAAACTAACACTCGGCCATTACTGTATCTCCTAGAGCTGCACTTTAATCATAGTCTAAAAACAGACCGGGGTGATATCAGCGACTCAGAGGCTGGAGCCAATCAAAACACTGCCTGCTTAAGTTATGACATCACATTTAAGAAAAGATCGGTTCATGAGAAAACCAGAGAGAGAGAGAGAGAGAGAGAGAAACTGTAATAGACTGTAGAGTGTTACAGAGTGTGTGTGTGTGTGTGTGTGTGTCCACATCAATTCTCTTTTTGTTGTCATTATGTTAAAAGCCTTCAGTTGTGCAGTATGGTGTTGTAGTTCACCTCCTACGTCTTCTTTAAGCCCGGGTCGTCAGGTCAGAGTCAGACGGCTCCTTCACCCTCACTCTGTCTGTTCCTGAGCTGGAGAGGGCCTTCGGGAAAAAGTTCAAGTCCAAATCTAAGTAAAATAAGAACTCTCCTCTGACTCGTCTCACTTTCTCTCGCCTTTCTTGTGCCAGAATCTCTTGATTCTTCTCTGGACCACCAGAACTGCTGCCACCTCCTTCCATGCTGCTATGAAAGTTGCTGCGGCTCCTCCTGCATCACTTGCTTTCTTTTCCTCTTCTGGACGGCACTGTCCAAGGACCAAATAAAGTTGCTCACTGTTGGACTTGGTCCCCAGTGATTCCTGAATCTTTATTGGCTAGATTAGTCACATTTCAAACATGAATGTAGAGTAAGGACTTCTATGTGTGATACACAGAGATGCAGTATATAAATCAGACAGAAGTGTTATGCTGTCAAAGTAGCCCTTTTTGTCTTTGACGTTTTACTGCTGCAGTTACTGATACAGTTTTATTTAGGGCTGTCATAATTAATCACAGTTTATCCAAGAATCCCACCATCCATTCGCTTATCGTTGCTCTTATACTCAGTCGTCGCATTAACCTTTCCAGCAGTGTATAAATTACATGACATTTATGCACACTGTGGAACAGAGTTTATTTTTCACAGAGTACCTGAAGGTGTCCTGATAACATATTTAGGAATCATGATTAATTATAAGGTTCAAAGCTTTGATCTGTTGAAAAAAGAATCTGCTTTCACCTGGATTTGAAACGAGAACAATATTTATTCAGTGCTGACGTCAGGGAGTTCCTGTGGTAGGTTTATCCAGGTCTGCCGTGGCCACCATTGTGTCTCTAGTTTCTTTTCTATGCAAAAGCTGCTTTTGAACAAATTTTCCTCTGCAGCCACACAAAGAACAAGTGGTTTGACTTTCTCTACATGTTGCTTTTTTTCTAAAAAAAAACAAACAAACAACTTTTCACTCTTTTTGCTTTGAGGACCACACGTTGAGCCACCACTGCTGTGCTGTTGTTTAAATCTCACTGATCTTGTTTTTCTCTTGCGTCTTCTTTCACTCCTCATTTTTTCACTCTGTCTCCTTTTTACATTTGCAGTAAGAAAGAAAAGGCTTGAGGAAGGACCCATCTTTCCTAAGTGTCGGACGAATGTGTAAAAACCAGGGTAACCCTTGTCCTCCCGTCCCTGCCCTGTCCCACTCGTCTCGTGGGAACCTTCGTCAGCCTCTGAGATTTACCCAGGAGTCCATGACCATGATGTCAGACTCTTGTTTCAGGTTTCAAGAAGAACTCTGAAGTCTTTGATTCAAGTGTTTGTAGTAGATATACTATAGTAAGTGCCTCGAGACTTAGAGTAATGTGTGTCAGCTCGTTAGTTACTAAATAAATTACTCATTTTTACAAAGCTTTAAACACATTTACATATGATAGGCATAAAGTAGGTTCTCATGGAAAATGTGTTGAACAGAACACAATCCCTCCTCGAATTCAAAAGATTGACTAACATCATGATCGTTCTATGGAAACAATTGGACTTTTGTTTTTTTGTTTTTTATTAGAACGGTGTACATATATTTTTATGTACCTTTGTCCAAAGCTTTGTTAAAATGTTAAATCTGTTTAACTATTGGATCAGGTGTTTTGAACTAGCTGGCCACTGTAGTATTCTCTTCTGTTCAGTTTTCCTCATTGCATGCAAATGTGATATTGGTAGTAACTCTGTCCTATGAGACCATCATTGGCCTTTGGCTCCAACATTGGATGGTAACCTCTTTTTTTCTGTAATCTTTTTTTTTTCTTGAATTCTTCAGTATCATTAAGAATCATGATTCCACACTGAATGGACTGAAATTCATCTTTGTAAATGAGTGAATTTCTACCTTTAGACTCTATAAAATACAAATCTCCCATTTTTATTTTTTTTTCTGATTTGCTCCATTCAGATTACACAGTATTTCACTGACATGGTGAGTTCATGTGTTAAGCTATACAGATTCTTCAGCATCATACGGATTGTAAACCTTGCTACTGTGAGATTTGTTACTACGGATTATATTTATTGGTGACCTGGGAGAAGTTCACTATCAATACATAATACTGCAAATGAATGCTGGATAGTGTCACCACTAGTGTAAAACGTAATGCTGTAAATGATCAAATATTTAAATTACACTTTACACTGGTACAACGTCTATTACTTATAATGGTACTACCTACAGGGAAACGTTGTGAGCTAAGAATGACTACTGCCAGCAAGTATTATATAATTTAATCATATCTATTTTAAAACAATAAATTGTTCAATAGAAAAGTATTTTGCACAGTAGGGGTCTGCCAACATATCAATACTACAATACATCGCGATATATCGTCTTGCAGTACGTTATCGATATACTGGCGTCAAATATCAATATTTGAACAATTGACATACTCGTTACAAACCGTTTTTCACTAAAACCTTCTTCAAGTCTCCACTGGATAGTGCCAGAGACCACTGCTCGAAAGTGATTGAGTACAGAAATCAAACAAACCAAGCTAAGCTAGCCAGCATTTGACTTTTTTTTTTTGCTGGGAACCTATTTGTACTATGGTACTGCAGTTGTGATTGCTTGAAAACTTTGTGGTGTTCTCCTTCACGTCAAAGTACTACACCCCTGTTTCCAGTTACGTTGGAATTTTCCTTTGGGAAAATCTGATGTATGGCCTTTGTTTTACTATTTCACATGATTGACATTCATATGAAATTAATTGAAAATATTTTGTAATAGTTGTGAAATGGAGTCGATGCAGTCGATAAATTCTAAATGTCTTCAGTGACACAGGTCTCCTGAGTACCGTGGATGAAATGTATTGCAATATATTGATTTTCGCAGAATCGCTGTATTGTGATATTATTGTTATCGTAAAGAAAAATATCACGATAGCGATCGTATTGCAAGGTACCTGGCAATACCCAGCTCTGTTGAACAGTGAACTCTTTAAATTGCAGCCCAACAGTTCTATGACATGTATTTGTATGGACATCTAGCTAAATTTGTCGCAAGGTCTGGTTTCTTGAATCTTTGTGTTTCATTTTAATCTACTGGATCTTAAAATCGTGTGTTTTACCAATAGAGATGTTTGTACTGTTGACATGATGCCCATCAGGGTCCTCACCTTGAAGCCCAGTTCATATTTGAAGTATGAAAGCTGTGGATTACACATGTCGGATCCAAACCGTCCACACAGCATGTCACACGTGGTGGTCGGTAATTAAACATCTATGTCTCAGTGCCTGGTTACATATGGGCCACAGCACGTGAATTGGAACGATCTGAACACTGTTACTTGCAAAATGCTTCAAGGTGTAACTGGTCTGTGTTTCTCACTTAAAGAAAAATGCACGACTTGAAAACTTGAAGGTATCGTCACCCTTACCAGTGTCACTCTGTTATTTTCTTACCAGTGCTGTGGACTTTGTTTCACTGAATATTTATATTGGGTGTAAACATTTGTAAGACATTAAACACATGAGATTGAATTGTGAAAAGATGAAGTACTCGCGTCTGTTCTCTGTTTGGTTCTTGTGTTTTGTTCAGAGGTTAATTATACTCCACTTTTGGTGGAGTGTTTGACCCGGGAATAAGTAAAAGAATGGGGGGAAAAAACACAATTTCTATTATGTCTCTGTACTGTATAAAATATTTTCTACCGAGAGCGGCAGCGACCCTTGTTGGTTGAATGTAGGAACTACAATGGAACTCTTTCGAAGATTGACCGCATTGACGTAACAAATGGAGGTTCCTCTCTTGCCTTTTTAAAAGCGTAAATGTGTGCATAAATTTATTGACATATATGAAGAAAATTCAGCCATAGAGCTTGAAATATTGCCTTGCCGTTAACAAATACCGCAGTTTAGCTGAAGAAACGCCGTCCTTGTTGTAGTTGTTGATCAAACTTTGTATTTAACGTCTGTAAAGTGTCTGTCACTTTGACCTGTTTGTTTATGCAGCACCAAATGTCCAATACAAGAGACAAACAGTACATCGAATTATCTGTAATCCACTTTTTTTTAACTTAATATTTAAACTTAAGTTGACAACTTCACGTTCATTTCCCCTAACACAAACTAACAACGAAGCAAATGGGTGTTTTTCTTCCCCGATGTTTGCAAACTTTGAAACAGAAATTACAAATTTATGAGCTAACAGACGTTTAATGGTTAACTTGTTATTTACGAGGTATATTCTATAAAAAATACAGAACTAAAGAGGAAATATCACAGTTAAAGAAGGAGTGAAACATGTCGGTGAACGTATGTGAATGAGGTTTTTATTGAATCTCAAGCAGAAATATTTGATAAACCTTTATTGCTCATGTCATTCAGTTTTCACCTGCGGTGTCACCTGATCAAAACACTGTTCAGTTTTTGCTGCGTGACTAAAAACAGTCGCCAAACACTATTCACGTCACGCTGGATGTGCATGTGCGTGTTCACGTGTCTCCAGTAGAGCAGTGTCTTTCTCCTTATATCCAATCAGATTTGTACTCGGCTTTTTTTTTTTTTTTTAATGATTCCAATTATAACATTCAAAATAACTTACACACACACTGTTTCCCTTATGGTTAGTGAGAGTCTCCTGATTTTTATAGTACATATTGTAAGCTCCTTGTTTATTGATGTGTTGTCATAGTAAAACAAAGGAAAGGAAACCCTGCAAATCTGTACATTCATATTCCTAAATGCATACATGTAAGTTCAAACCTCTAATAAGAGTGAAAACACATTTAAAGTTAAGTTTTATTGCCTTGATTTTTTTTCATGATAAATAGAAGGATAAAAAGGGAAAGGCTGTGGGTTTTTACATAGTCACACAACAAACCAGACAAATGGCATGCAAGACGAGGAGGGCAGACGAGGGATGGGGACATTTTAAACACTATTCTACGTGACCGTTAATATAACTTTATGTCAGGGCACCGTAGGGCGACAGATTCCACAGAGAACGACGGGTATGACACTGTGTGCAATTTGGTTTTACGTACAATTGTGACACAAGACAGTTGAGTTAGAAGCACACAACAGGAGTCGGTAAATTTCCTTTCTAAAATATGGCTTATCGAGTTATTAGATAATTTGATACTTTAGAGACAGACACACAGTTAATATAATATTTCATTTATTTTATGATTGTTTGCCCACATTGAGGCCTGGTGTATTCCTTTGTGGTCTATGTACACATTGAGTCGTTAAGGTGATTATATTTCAGAGAATGCTCTTCAGCTACAGCAGGGGAGCAGGGAGGGAGGAGAGGAATATTTCTCAGACCGGACGGCCGAACCATGATTTTCTGTCGTTCACCCAACTGCTTGTTCTTAGTGTATCTAGGTGGATCGTGCTGTAGCTAACATGAACACCGCTCACCATAACATTAGCCTGGCCGTTGACTCTGCATGGCTTAGTTTAATAGCTGCGATTCACATGGCTGCTTTATATCTGATTCATGTCCCCGGCATGAAACTTTGAATTTTATCTCATACCCAAAAAAAGCACCACACCATAGTTTTTGATTTTTTTTTTCAAACTCCTCAAAGTAGATGGAAAAGAAACCCTGACTAAAGCCAACCTTATGAATGTAGCCTATGAACTAAACAAGGTAATGTTAGCCTCAGTCATCCTGACAGCCTACTTCTTTAGCATATCCTGCAGAGGGCCTGGCAGATATTTCATCACTGTGTCCATGATGCTTTCCTCCTCTTCCTCGTCACCACAGCCAGTAGGCACAGCCTTTTTAGGCCGGGTCAGGCTGCCCGCTGCGGGCTCTTCTGCGGCGGCGGCTGCCTCAGCTTCGGCCTCCTCGCGTTTTTTCAGGCCGTACTGGTGGAAAACATTGAAATGTTGATGAGATGGAAGGAAATAATAACAAAATACTACTTTGTTTTCTGGGATTTCAAGATATGTAGCTTATTTTAAACACCCAGCTACGAATGCACGGTGCTGTATTTATTTACAGGGATGCTGCCCCCTGTCTGTGTTTTCTTTTTTCCCATTTGTTGAGTGGGAATCAACATGCCCTCTGTGCTGTCAGGCTCATGAAAACATTGTAACTATGCTGCTGAGGTGTCTATCTATCTATCTATCTATGTCCCAGAAAGTATATGTAAAGTACATATAATGTTTATTTACTTTACCGTGGGCCTGTTTAGTTGAACACAACCCTGATATTCTTGCAAGACCTGTAGAAAGACTAAACAAGATCTTCAACAGAGCTGAGCCTCTTGCTTTTTTAGTTTTTATAGCCATCTGCCGCCACCTAGTGGAAGAGTATTGAATTGTTCTGCCTGTGGCATAGAGGTATGAAGACAAATGATTTGCAGTAAATAAAATAAATAGTATTTTTTGGTATTTGGTATTTTCCGTCTTTGTTGCCATAGCTATAATTGACCAGCAGTATCTGCTGTGATGGAATGAAACTGTTGAGGAGTCTGACAGACTTTTATTAATGAACATCCTCTCAGGTGTCTCCTTCTCTTCGCTGCTTGTTGTCCCGGAAACATCCTCTCAGGTGTCTCCTTCTCTTTTCCTCGCTGCTTGTTGTCCCGGGATAACTTCATATAGAAGAATATAGAATTTTCAGAGGCAGCAGAAGAATACGGCTGTTATGCTGTCTCTACTGTCGGCGCTCCCTCTCTGCCTCTCTCGTCTGACCCAACGACTGCTTGTCTTCACAGTCAAGTTGTTCCACTGCAGTCATTAGCATCACAGACACCCCCCAGCTTTACAGTTTGTGCAAAGGGGAAGGAAACCAAACACTGTCTGACTGTGGAGAAACATTTAGTGCAGCTGAGCTGGAAGAAGAGAATACCGTCCATGACACTAACAACTGACTGACTGAAGTACAAACGCAGTATTTTAATTACTGGATTTCAATCACAAAAGAGAACACAAAGCAGTGTTCTGGAATAGAATATTATAGTTGGTAGATTTTTTTACAGACTCATTTTTCTTATTGACATTTCTTGGTTTTTTTATGTTGAATAATAATTATAATAATAATAATAATATGAATTCTAGATGGATAAATGTTTTTCCTCTGCTGCTTTCTAAATCTTTGCATCACTCCAGATCCAGCTGTCCCTCAGGAGACAATAAAAAAGAACATTTTAAAAATTTAAAAATATGAAATGAAATCACACACAGGTGTATGTCTCAGAGCAGTTTGCTCTATAGCAGTCAGTTTCTAAAGTTTAGATATTAGATTGTTTTCGTTTTACTCATAAGAAAAAAGAATTAAAAAAACAAGCAAAATGACTGATTTATTATCTTTGTATATCGTATATATTATATTTATATATATATATATATAATTGTTGGTTATTTTTGTCTTTTCTTTGGTAATGACAGCGTGTGTCAGCTGACAGACAAAGTCCACTCATTTGTCACTCTACCTTGTCCCTGATGCCTTGTCTCATTTGTTCCCTCTCTGCCTCCATCTTGGCATATTTGCCCTTCCTCTCCTCCTCCTGCTGCCTCAGTGCCTCCTGTCGCTCCTCCTCTTTCTTTGCTGCATCAGGATCCTCCTCCTTTTCCTCCCCTCCCAGCATTTTGCCGACATCAGGAGGTCCACCTTAGGAGAGGAGGGTGAGGGAATAACAGGGGAAAAGTTCAATATAATTATAGAATATCATCAGTAATGTAGGATTTACAATATTATTATTATTATCATTACATTATTGTAAATAGTTTAATCCAAATGTAAATCTATACATCTCAATAGAGTCGTTGTTTAGGTGGCTAACGAACCATAACCTTAAACATATTTCATGATTTCCTAAACTTTTTGTGCTGCACAAAAACAAGGACGTTCTGACTGGAGTGTGGACAGATGAGAAAATAATCCCAGCCACCTATAAGAGATTAGTGTCTTGCACAGACGATAACGCAGATAACAGGTCAAAGGCAAACAAGGTGGAGAGGAGAAGATTGTCCCAGAAACTTTTCGCCCAATTAGCTGAGCTTTCCATGTGCTACTGTGGCCAGATTAAAAATAGATGGTGAGGAGGAAGAAAACCTGGGAGTGGCAAAATTGCCAGCGTGACAGTGAGTGAGAAAAAAGGTTGTTGCTGAAGAAACAAGCGTAGAGAGTGTTTTGGAAAGAAAAAGGAAAAACGGAAGAAGGACGAGAGGGTCGAGAGGCAAACGACAGGCATGTGAGGAGAGACAGGAGAGAGCCAGTGAGGAAAAACGACAGTGTGTGGATATTACTGCTTCATCAGCATTACTGAAGTAAAATACAGCCACAGAGAGAGAGAGAGAGAGATAAAAGACAGGGGAGACACTGGAGTAATGAGTAACGACACAGTCTCTAGTGTGAAAAAGAATCCATACAGCCGTCTAATATATTGCTATATTGATGATTGTATAGTCTACAATGCATCAATAGGAGTGACCATCAAATGGTGACCCGTGGTCCGCATTGGGCCCGCAAGCCATCTATTTGTGCCTATTGAACACCGGAAACACTGGTGTTCCTCTTCTTCCCTGAGTGTGTTGTACCGGCTTCTCCATGTCAACCAGCCAATAGGCTGTTAGCGAGAACAAAACCTTTTTAACATTCGCTCTTGGACCTGAACGCTTATCGATAGCTTGACGGCCGTAGGAGCCTTGATGGAGTCAAAAGGGCATGTCTTTGTGGGCCGTGAATATTTCTATTTCGATTCCCCAGATTTTTTTCAACAGATATTCACAGAAGGCAATAATCCTTTTTCTTTTTTTTTTTTTTTAAAAAGATACATAGAGTTGTTGTTGAATGTTTAGCTACTGCTTATTTTCCAGCTGACTTTTCACTGGTATTTACACTAGTATCAGTAGACAGGAATTGATTGTTTCATCAAATATTTACTTCATTTAAATAAAACTGTCACAGTGGAACAAACAGGTAAAGTGTATGAGTCTATGTCCTCCACGTACCAGATGTTTAGTCTGTGGTTAGCGTTTTGAAACATCGTAGCTCAAAATGGGGTTCACATGTAGCTCCGTTGCATATCTTACATTATTTCAATTTTATTTATTATCTGATTCTGAACGATGTTTTATTTTGAGAAATTACCGGATTCTCTCCGTCGCATCTGTCTATGACTCACACTTGAAACATGTCAAGATGCTCCGGTGTGTGAAAAAATGTCAGACATTTAACCGGTCCGTGGCGCAAAAAAAAAAAATGTTGTGGACCGCTGCTTTTGTAGAAATGTATCTAAAGTAAAACCATAAGGAGCCACCTAGAACTTGTTGGTTTTGGACGGGTCCATACTGTCAGTCTGTTAGAACACTTACAGCAGTGAGGGTAACGATGGGGAGAAGAGGATCTGCCATGACAAAGTTGGAGTTATTTTCAGCCATGATCCCCACTCCTGCTTTGTGAGTCATTAGTGAAAGATACAGCAGTGTTCTTTGGCACCAGAATAATTCCATCAAGTTTGAGTCACACAAGCCACACATACCTAGGCCCTGCACTGAGTGTTATACTGATTCACTACTGAAGATAATGTGAAGCTTATCTAACTAATAAAATAATCAAATTTCCATGTTTGCTGATTGGCTGTGCAACACACTGAGGCATCTTTTCCTGCAGGGAAACGTCATTACTTTATTGTAATTAGTACTGTATAAAATACAACAAATTACACTAAAAACATACAAATAAAATCAACACCACGCGTACTTGGTTCACAACATGTTCTTAGACGTTTTTCTTTTTTAACACATGGAACCAGCGACTGAGTTTATATACATTTAGTTCAGCTGTTTATCACAGTTTTTCCTCTCTTTTGCTGTGGATTGGATGACTAATATAGCCCCATTGTCAAACTCGAGGCCCAAAGGCCAAATACGTCCCACCAAGTTATTTTGTGTGGCCCATCACTAGTGTGTCGTATATAATATATATATATATTTTGCTCATCATAGCCTGAAAGGTAGAACAAATAAATACACTTCTTCTAGGTGGCAGCAGATGGCTATAAAAATTAAAAAAGATAACCAGAGCTGTTGAAGAAGATCTCTGTGAGTGTCTTTCTTCAATTCCTGCCAGTATATCAGCGTTGTCTTCAACTAAACAGGCTGAGATTTTAGTCCATTTTAAGGTAACTTAAACTAGAAGATTATGTAACAGTAAGGTGAACCACATCTGGTTAGTTTGGAACAACAAACCAAATCCAACGCTAAAAACAGGGAGGGCAAAATCAGCTTGTTGTCTTTACACTACCCAGAAGAGCCAGACAACATATAACCTGATCCTGGCTGGACTCAGCACTTGGCCCTTCTGATGACTAAACCACAGAGAAACGCAATGATACCACTTAAGTGATTTCAAAATATTGACAGCCACTGGCAGGCACAGTAATAGTTTTAACTGATTGATTACCTGGATAATTGGTTTGTTTCATTATCTGATTTTTGTCCCTCCTCAGGGTGGGGATGAACGCCTCGTCAGCATTTCTGCAGACACTTTGTCTCAGCCTCTAGGTTTGAACCAGTACCAAAAGACGTGAATAAGGGATAGAAAAAAATGCACTGGCAGCAGAATTCTCACCACTAAAATTATAGGTGACGACTAGACACATACTGAAACAATATTAAACTTTCACCTCCTGACACCTTTTGGTTTTCTTCTCCTCATTGACAAATACCTATACTGTGCACGGGCCTATGCAGTCACCGTGATTAATTTTGCCTAGAGATAAAAGGGGAGAGAGAGAGAGAGAGAGAGAGAGAGGTGGGCACACAAAGACAGGGAGAGCTGAGTGAAAAAAATTAAATGAAAGAGAGTTTTATTCATTCCTACAGAAGCACATTTTTACATTTCCTTTCAAACCTTTAAAGAGATGGGACGCCTTTGTTCAAACCAAGCTGCAATTCTTTAATTTTTGCAAAGAGCTGATTAGCACTGACTGAGCTTTAACGTCACATATTTCTATGTAAAGCCTCAAATCTAACCAAGATTTACCAATACACCCCACCTTCCTCCAGCCTCCATCCTGTTTTGGATGCTGACTTGAATTTTTTTTCATTTATCAACACTCAGGGTTCCAAATCCCTGTTATTTTACATTTTTTGTTGATCTAGCTAAATTTGTTGAAGCAGCAGGAGTGACGGCCACCAGGGGGCTCTAGTTTGTCCTCGGAAAATAGGAAGGAAGCTAAGAAAAAATACTGTACAACACGTAACTGCTATAATTGTTGTATTCTCAAGTTTCCGATGGTACCTGAATGCACCTCAGACAGCAAGAGTGGATTGATTTCTTTTGTTCTGTTCTTATCTGATAACAATTTGTTGAAAAACGTATTATTCAGTGGGAATATACAGAGAAAAAAAATGTTTTTTTTTAAATAATTTGCTCACGCTCAACAAATGTAATACTTATTGAATAATGAGAGAAAGTAAGAAAATTCTAAAAGTCGGTGTTTTTATACATATTTTGTAGCATTGTCTCTGGGTTTGGAAAGGGCGTTCTCGGTCTGAGGCTAATGCTGTTCAGGGGCTCTGTTAGAAACTGGAAGACCCTTCCAGTCTGTTGCCAATAATGAAGTATTGATTGCTGAAGGACAGTCAAAGGCAGGAAGTGCAGTCACACTCATCTGCAGGTGTTACTTCCTGCACACGAGCCACGGAGTGAATTTCACTACTGCAGACAGATGGAGACAGTCGGCGGCGGATCGAGAAAGTACTGCACACTGTAGAGGTGCACACCGTAGATAAGACACAGAGGATAAGTGCTGGTGAAGTGGAAACAGATAACACACCTGGCAATCACCGGAGAGAGCAGACAGGAGACAAGGAGCAGTGAGGGAAAGTACTTGTCGAGAACCAAAGACAGGAATCAGACAGGAATGGAGGTTAGGAACGGGAATGGAGGTTGGCAACGAAGAGTCAAACAAGAAGTAAAATGTCACCTCTATTATATGTTCTACTGTATCGGTCCACTATATCGGTCTCTGGGTCCTGTACAGATCCAGGGGTGTCGCATTCAATGCATATATGTGTGCGTTTGTATATATGCACGTGTGTGTATATGTGTATATGTATATATATATATTACATATATGTATATATATTTGTGTGCATATATATACATATATATATGAAGACAGTAAAAGTATAGATGATATTGAAATAGCTTTCACTGCATTTAGGATAATAAAAATATGTACCAGATGGCACTTCTGGCCACATCTGCCAATAAAAGACATTGTAACCAAACAACCAATCAGCTTTCACCATATGGGATACAACATAGGTGTTATAAAAAAACAAATCTTAAACCTCCTCCTTTATCTTCCCCTTTGCTGAAGCAGTTTCTTTTCTGTCCGTTTTTGTTAGCTCAGACATTCTGGTTAACGTCTAGTCTGTCTGACAATAATAAAACCTCTACGTCGGGGAAGTGTTCTTCAGCTTCGACTCCATGCTGATTCTTGTTTGCAATATGAAGATGTTTTATTTTTGTTGATGTTTGAATTATCTTTGTTGCTGATGCCAAAAGCCTTTCCCTCCTCCCTTCACAAATGCTAGAGCTACAGCAAGTAGACCTGAGTGACATCATTGAACTCTCTGATCTATAATGGAAGAACCTCGTTGCTTAATTAGTGGAGATCGCACAGTCATAATAGATTGTTTGGGACTGGTTTCACCACCTCTCCTAATCTCCCAAGCTCTCTGCTGAGAAACTCATTACGCTTAACCCAGTTGGCCTGAACAGTGACCCTGAACTGTTTCATGATTTGGCCTTGACTTCCTGTTCCTGTCCTCCAAAGGTGACCACCAGCTGTTCAAAGGACAGCAGGCACCACGCTCCTGTGACCATGGAATTTACCCACAGCCGGGCCACTGTCCTCACCGCTGCAAAGAAAACTGTCTGAGATCTTAATGTTGGAATAGGCCAGGAGGGTTTTAGAAAAGCCTGCAGTCAAACTGCCTGTCGTGAAGGATGCTGGTAAATAAAAAGGCTAGAAATACGCCTGAGAAAACCCCGAACCACCGCAAGTCTAAGAAGTGTATTCCTTTATTAGCCCATGAGTGACAAAGAAAAGTCATTTAACAAAAAGACGGATGACATTTACTCACTCAACACACACTTTGTTTCACAGACACTAATGTATGCACTCAAGAGAAAGAGAGGCGGATAGGGAGAGAGAGAGAGAGAGAGAGAGAGAGAGAGAAGGATACAGTAAAAACATCGTACAAACCAATGCACACACGCGCACTTTAAAATGTATTCATAATGTCCGCAGGCAGAAAAGAATAGATGAAGAAGAAGACTACGCAGACTGAAGCCACTGTCCAATGCAAAGCATTTGATTTAGGAAATGAGTGCAAAGACAGGAGGCACAGCAGCTACACAGAACGAGGCAGTGGTGACGTCCTCTGCATTCCAATAAAGAGCCTTGGCTCAGCACCACCATCACAACTGACAGCATGTGTGTGTGCAGCTGCTACGGCATACTGCAACTACTGGAGCCAATTTATGCCTGAAGTTTTATTTAAGGATGATTTATTCCTAAATACTGCAAAAGAAAAATAACCTGTTTATTGCTGGAACAGACAGATAAATGACAGCAGGTTAATGGTATTGATTTACACCTGTTTTTATTTGTGACTTTTATTTGTGGCTTTATGGTGTTAGTGGAGTATTTGCTGTGCATCTTGACTGTGGCCTGAAGAACGCATCAAGAACTGATTATAAGATTTCAGTGAAGCTCTTGTCCACAACAATATTAATCAGTCTACAGTCCCTCATAATCCATTTGACAATTGTGTCAGTCATCTTGAAATATTTGGATACTCAGCGTGTTCTGTTCTGCCCACGCCGGAAAATAGGTTAAAATTTTAATCAAATTAATTGTGATTAATGTGGTAATTATGACACCTCTGCTCTTCACACAAATATGTTTATGGATATGTTACATACGTCTTATGAAGGTAAATTGTCTTTTCATCTTGTCCGGCCTTCGACACTGTCAACATTTAGGGATGTTCAATATTATCTTTTTGCCGATATTCCACTATTGTCCAAACACTTATTTTCCAATATAAGCCGGCTAATATTCATTTATTTATCTGTTCAAACCACTGCATGAGTATGACGATAATTAAATTAGCTGCAATGCTGCCATCTAGTGACTTTTACTTTCATATACAGCCGTTTATCCCCAAAACTATTTTTAGGGCACACATCATTTGGCGAAACCCAAACCCACTGCAATGAAACACTTTGTCTGACGGCAGACTGGTCATCTGCTGATGAAGCCAATAATGACTGATACTGACCAAAAGGCGGGGTTCATTCTGGACTGGTCACCACTCTGCTCTACCAACTGGGCCAACACACAGGGCGACCTTCACACTGCTCCGTCTGTTTAAGATTCTGCTGTTCTAAATACTCTTTTTTTGACCAAATTTTAAAGCAGAGGAGTTTTTCTTTATTAACAAATGTGACTGTGTTATAGAAACATACGAAGGGCTTTCTGGATGAGGTCCTTGGGGGTTTTGAAAAGATGGGTGTAGAGATTAAAAAGAAGGGCGAAAATGAATCTAAATGATCAAAGTTACAGTGCCGTGAGGGTCGGGATGGATTATTGCCTCTCGGTGTTCCCATAACTGCAATAGCAGAAGACTACTGCTGTTGGTGGTGGTGAACATCCCTTTAAATCCTTTACACTGCAGTGCCGTTAAATCAACCTCCAGGCCGGCAGAGTACTCACCTCCCATTGCAGCTTTCATTACAAAATTCATGATGAAGCAGTTCTGGGCTCTCTTCTTTTAGTGGTCACGCAATCAGGAACAGACCTGCAGCCAGGGGGCAGAGTACAGACACTGTCATTGTTTTTAAAGAAACCTAAGGTTACAAATACACATAGACGAGGTCAGTGGAACAGGTCGGATGAAGGATGAAAAAAAATAATCTAAAAACATACATTAAATGACTGAATCCATGACATTTGAACGACCCTAACAGTGCCCCAAATAAAACCGTACTGACATGGATTAATGGTAACAAGCAAAGCCTAAGTTTTGTCAATGCCTCCCTGATTTATAGCCCCACTCCATAATGGATTAATGCTGATGTTGCCTCAGCGCCTGAGCTCTGGTTTCCTTGAACTGAACCCAACAATAAGGAAATTGCATTTCAAGGAAAATGGGGTCAAAAGAAGGAGGGTAAAAAAAAGAGCACAAGGAGACTGGGAGTCAGTACAAAGGATTTTAACCGTCAGCTTTTTCTCCTTAGGTGAGGGGGTATATCTTTGAAGGACATTGTGTGAGGGTGTCTTTGTCACTGTCAAAGTAATTAAATATGACCATTATAATTATTATTTCATGACATTTTGTCCCTGGGCTGCTGCTGCTGCTTCAGTGAAATTGAATGACTGGATGTTCATCTGAAACATCTGATTCCTGGTTGTTGTGCTTTTTAAAGTCTCTAGACCTTAAGGTACCGGTGAAATTGTATAAAAACCTGCATAAATTACGATTAAACTTGTCTATTTACCGCGCGGAGCTATCTCAAATATCATGGGAGCTTGAGCCACATCGTTTTATAAATACATTTCAAGAATAAATATATTTTAATAGCTATTTCTCTTCCTGAAATATACTGACAAGATCGTCGCTCGAAGAAGAAAATCTCAGGACAAGTTGTCCATGTTCGATAGTTCAGATTCTCAAAGTGGTATCTGCACCATCAGAGCGTCCTTAAATCATTCCTTCACCCTCATCTTCTGCAGCCGCAGCAGCATCACTTTCTCCTCACGTGAACCCCTACAGTATTCACTCGCTGCTCCTCGTGTGCCGCTAAAATTCTGTCCTTACAGTAACGGACACTCTCACTGTCCTTCCCGTGCCCGACGAAGCAGCCCGTGCATCCTGGATTTACGAGTCGATATACTGCACGCACCAGCGTCAGCATCCTGCACCAAGTCACTAACCCATCTCCTGTCTCTACCCTGTCCCGTGTAGTAAGCCTCCACCAGGTTCAGCGTTGTTTACCTTCTCTTGATGCTCCTCCACTGGGTTCCTGCCTTCAGTGGAACCTCGTTGCGGCGTTTTAACTACGTATGGTTCCCCGCTCGGCGAAGGGCAGAGGAGAACGGAAGTGGTTCGTGTTGTAGAGGGATGGTGTGCACCTTTCTCCGTGGCTCTCTCTGCCTCTCAGTTTGCAGACATGCCGGGCTGCAGCGGCGTAGGAAGAGACTGTATTCCTGCAGGAGGAGATGAGAGCGTGCAGAGGGGGAGAGGGGGAGGAGGGACTGCATGACTGTACCATCACCTACAGTCAAAGGGTTTTTTTCTCTCTGGGTTTTAAAATATAAAATAAAAAATATGACGTTTTTTTAAAGTATTTTAAAAAGTTTAGAAGTGCGTCCCTTGGTTTTTTCACTGTGTTAAAGGAAAATGTACAGAAAACACAAAATCATACAAATACAAAGTCATTTTTAATGCTTCCCAGATGATTTATGTAGGTCATTGATGCTTCTGTTTCTCTCTTTAAACTGTAGAATTCTAATTTAAAGTATTGTGATTTTTTTTTAATCATCACTACAGGACAGTATAGCAAGCTGCAAACATTGTGAGAAGTTGCAGTGTTGGCAAGAAATTGCCTGTTTATTTATTCAGGAGTTGCAGAGAAACATTAATATTCGCCTGGAGTCGTTTTCAGTCTAGAAAAACAGAAATATTTTTGCTTGGTTTGCTTTGGTTATAGTGCTCTGTGAGGCTCACTTTTCCTTTGTCTGTAGCAGTAAACGTTTGCTGGGTGTTGTGCTGAGGTCGGCTACTTCCTGTTGATGAAAGTGGGTAAAACCTTAGTAACACGGTACAGTGTTGCTGAACACAAGTATCTTTTCTTAATCTCCGTACAGTGTGTGTATCTTCCCACCTCTCTGTTGTACTTCTTATTCAGTGTTACCCAACCTTTTTTGAGCCACGGCAGACCACAAACAAAAATCTCACAAAAAGTATTACATGAAATATAATAATATTCTGGTTTAAATGACCTCATAATTGACTAAAATCAATTAAGTGACATTGGATAATTTTCCACGGCACACTCGTGTTTGGAATCACTGGTTTAGGTGATGTGATGCATCCCATGTTCTCCACAGAATATCAGATGATTCTGGATGTATTTCGGATGTATTTGGTCAGCCAGGCACTGTCCTAGTTTCCCTTGTCCTCACTAGATGTGTGTTTCTGGCTCTGCAGTGTGCATGATTCTTCGTCACTCTGTAAGACAAACACAAAACCTTTTGTTAGTGCATAAATGACAGTTTCATGCACGTTAAAGTGACTTGTCTTTGTCATAGTCTACACGCAGGGGTGTCAAACATACGGCCCGTGGGCCAAAACTGGTCCACTAGGGGGTTCAATATGGCCCGCTTGATGAGTTTTGTAACTGAAAAAAACACTTCATGTCAGATATGTTTTGTCAAATTATATTGATGATTATATACTTAATCATTTGATCATCATATACTTGTGCTTATTTGCATTAAAACAAAGGGGAAAAACATGGACTTATTGTTATTTACAAGCCTAAATTAAGTACAAGTAATTTATTTCGTTTATGAGAAATTACATCAATTAACTGCAGAGATGTATAACACATGGAATTAGCATCTGAGCTACACAAAATCTCCCTTTTATGAATAGCTTAAGTTGCTTTCAAACAAGTTTCCATTGGGTCAGTTAGATTCTCAACTAGCAGGTCACAACCAGAGGTCATTTATTGGGAAGCAGTCTTTGGTCAAGTTGAGCGTAATAACACTGCATTGTAAATATCTGTGTACGTGAGACAGTAGTGGCAGGAAGCACAGCGCCTTCCCAGAGTTCAGCAGTCTTACAGACTCTGGGACGAAACTGTTCTTTATTCTGGAGATTCACCACCTGATGTTCCACAATTTCTGCCTGAAGGGAGGGAGGCAAACATTTCACTTGCCAGATGGGTGGGGTCAGTCCTGGAGCTGGAGGCCCTTCTGCATCTCACAGTGTGTCTGTGATGATGGGTGAGCTGCCTCCCACAGTCCTCTGTGCAGCATTTACAATCCTCTGCAGAGCCGTCTTCTCCACTGCAGAGCAGTTGCTGTTCATCACAGTGATGCAGGAGGGCGGCACGTTCATCGTGCATCTGTAGAAGGTCCTCAGCGTTGAGAGTCCAAGTCCAGCACGTCCAGCACTGCTGTGCTTTGTTGACCAGGACTACGATGTTACTCCAGGTGAGGTCCTTGGTGAGGTTCGCGCCCAGGTGCCTGAGGCCATCCTCTGTTCCTGCAGCTGCTCCTTCATTGGTCGTTGTAGTCGTGGGCGTGGTAGGGGTCAGCTGCTCCTAAAGTCCACATTATCTCTCTCATCTTTGTCACGTTGATTCAAAGTTTGTCGTCTTCACACCAGCCGTCCAGATGTTCCACTTCCGTCCTGCATCTGGACTCGTCGCTGTTGGTGATGCAAAGCAAACGTCACTCTATGACAGCCGGGTGGTTTTGCGACACAGTCATAAGTGAGCAGCGTGTACAGCGCACAGCTCTGGGTGGAGCCAGTGCTGGGGGTGATGGTTGAGGAGGAGATACCATGGATCTTCACAGACTGCAGTCTGAGTCCCTGCTCTCCAGGTGACTGAGGGTTGTGTGGCCCACATGGGTCACAACACCATCTATGGCTAGGGTCCTCTGTTGGGGGTGTGTAGAAGAGATGGTCCTGTGGGTCACTGTGGAGTACTGGTTTAGTGGTCTGCAATGTACTCAATGCCCTGCCATATGCTGCGCTGGTCGTTGGAGTTGAACCTGGATCTTCTCAGCATGTGTAGTGTAGACCTGACCTCTGTGTTTAGACACTGTTTCTTGGGATAAATTGTAATTATTTTATTTATGCATATTTGAAGATGCAACCGAGGACAGAAGGTGTACATCCTTCTAGGTCCAACTCCCCCTCACACATGTTTTTGGAGACTGTTACGACTGGAATAGATGATTAGATTATTACGCCTGCAGTTGGGGAACAGTTTATGTCTTTAAACATTATAGAGAAATTGGTGCAAACCTTAAACTTTAAGTAGAGTGTACTCTTTAATCATTCAGACATGTGGGGTTGTGTGAGTTCAGTCAGCACAAATACATAAATATATGCTGCCCTCTATATGTCTGCTGTTTCCGCTGATATTTACTTTTATATTTATACAGCTGTGATTTATTATACCAGGTCAGAGAGTTTGCTCTTGACCCACATTAGGTGTGCTATTGTTAAAGTCTCCTCTAACTATAAATGTTCACATTCTTGTCAAATTGTATTCACAGCACTGTGAAAATGTCTCTTTCTGGACATTTGACGTGTCCCATGTTGCATTTATAGTCCTTATTTTTCTGATGTATTTATATTTGCATTTATAGTCCTTATTTTTCTGATATATTTAGATATCAAGATATCAAGGAATTTTGAATGAGCCTTTAAACCTTGTTTGTCCAAAGTCCTTTTTTTTAAGGCTCCAACTGTTAAAATGTTTAATCTTTACTTTTAACACCATTCATTTGTGGGATTTTTGTACTTTCTGGTTGTTTTTGTTCATTAGGATAGCCCCTTTTGACAGTATTTACTCTGAAGGTATGTGTTAGCATACTGCATGTGTGTCTCCTGTCCTATTCCTGTACTATATTTGGAGACCAAAGTGAGTGTTTAAATCTTTATGACATGATGCAGTGGTACTTTATTTATAAAACCTGTTTGAGTTTGAGTTTGAGAAGGTAAGGGTTAGCTCAGCTATCATTCCTCCAACCAAAACCTTTAACTATGCAGAGGTGATTGTCTTTACACTGAGACTTTCTTTATTTGTATTGTCTGAAGGTAAGCCTGTTACCTGGACGACATGTGGATATGGTTTGACTGTATTTTGCGACTGCTTCTAATAGAAGCACAGACCTATGGCACCTATGGATTCCAAACACGTGTCTTGAACAATAGTCAAGCCAATAGTCCATGAAGGTTACATTGTTTTCTGGACACTGCTGTACAAAATAAATTTTTGATTTTGCTGTAGAAGTTAGTAGTAGGCCGGTGTGGCCTATGACCAGATTCTAGCTGCTAACTAGGTTAGTTACCAACTAGGGGATACACAGATGAACCAGCTACGTTTGTCTGGCTAATGTTTAGGTGTTTAAGGTTAAGGTTCCAATTGACTGAGCCTCATAAAGCAGAGGGATTACTACAAATGTCCTAGTGACCCTCTTAATACATAATGTATATCCATATGGTGAGGTTTACTGGGTTGATGTTTTGGCAACAAAGTGGTTCTTTAAATATTTAGTGGCTCCTCTAAGAAGTTGGTCACGTAAAGTTTCCTCAAGACAACGAAGAAGGAATCACTTGATCTGTCTTACCAACACAAACAGTGACCAATCACACACTCCTACTGTGTTTCCCTCTCATCCACATGCTGTTGAAATCTACAAAACAGATGTTCCATAGATGAAGACCGGTCGACACCCTACAACTGAGAACTGAAAAACAATAAATGGTTTTATGCATGATGTTTTATACATAAGCAATAATGTAGATGTGTATGAACTCCCCACGACCATTTTGGTTCTTGACCTCCCATTTTGAAAACACAGTTTTAAACTGAAGAGAGTCGTTAAATCCGAACAGCACTTTCATCTGCGTCAGGATGTTCTGTGAAGTCAGAGGGGAGGAGTCAGAATCCTATAGGTTAACACTGTGCTGTCAATCATGCTTTCTGAGCTGACCCCCGGAGACACTGCAGAAGAGCAAGAAGGGATGGGAGGTAATGGAGAGGGTGGGGGATGTATGACAAGCATGTGTGTGTGCCTGTGTGTACTTGCGTGTGCATGCTTCTGAGTGTGTCCATCACCCTGAAGAGGACCACCCAGTCCCAGACAGAGAGAGGTGTGTACTGCTGCAATGCGTAAAGGCATCGCTGTTTCATGGCTTCATGTGGTGTAAACAATGACTGAGTTGAGAGGCTGACTGACTTATTGACTGACTGTATCAGGGTTTGATGTTACTGACTGTAAATATGGTAGATGGATGGATGGATGAACGGATGGATGGATGGATGGATGGACGGATGGATGGATGGATGGACGGACGGACAGATGGACGGACAGGCATGTCAGACTAGTACCCAATCCTCTGTGCCTTTTGAATATGGTAAGGAATTGTCTTGCCTAAATTTGTGGGAACATACCAGCATACAGGTTGACTTACTTTCAAACTTTCAAACAACCCAGTTCT